GGGGTTCCATCGAATTGTTGGAATCCGTCCCAATTCCATGAACATATTGTCCAAGTTCAGCAACCATGTCACTCTTGTAGTTGATATTGACATTATCAATGAGTTGCTGCGGACTGAAATGTGATGAGATACTGTCTTTCTGGGAAAAGACATTCAATAGCTCGGCGGCTTGACGTCCAAGACATTCAGTGATCAGCTTTGGGACCACTTTGTACTCTTGGTAGCAAAACCCCCTACCGGAGCCAGCAGCGTAAGAAGGAGGCAGAGTATAAGAAGAGCCTCAAGATGGGTACAATGGACGCCAAGGTCAAACACACTTCTTCCAATCATACTCTGTAGGTTCTCGAACTCTTGAGGCAAGAATAGTAATCGTCGGATGGATATCCAAACGCGCTCTCTTAGAGACATAAAGTCCCCTTGCAACAGTAGTATGAAAGATCTGAAGTACTCAGCACTGAGTAACTTCCCTTTACCAGCTTCCAGTAAATTGTTACCAGCTGGTGTTTCCTGTTTTGAATCCTTGTTGAACTTGATAGGAAATCCTCCAACATGTTCTTGACATAGTCGTCCATGTGGATCTTGACTTTGCCTTGCACCAAGAAATCCAAAGTCATTCCAAGGTATCTGTGTATCTTTCCTCTGACAATAGTGCATGCATTGATCAAATCATATCTTATGTTCAACCACTCAGCAAATTTGTCAACATGAAACCGGATTGTTTGCTGTTTTTCATTGTCAACTTTGTTAGCAACAAACGGGTCCTACGGATTGAAAACAAATCCCTTTGCCTCCAAGTCACTTTGAAACTGATTATAGAATAGGAGGCTCGATTGTAACATCCCATATATGGCATGTAGCACCCGCACATAGATTACTCGCTTTCCGTTCTCCAATACAACATATTCGCGATACTCTGGAGCCATGTCAATCAATATCTGGACCATCATGCCCAGTGATCTTCATGTAGATTCTAGGGCTCCACAGTCCCACTTAGAGAACTTTGGTGCGCAATTGTAGCGCACAAACGTATCTTATAGCCGAATGAATCGATTTTTGTGTCACAAACAAAGCATACTCTAGTATTGACAAAAAGTAGTGATGTATTGGCTAACACTGCAATCTACCGATGCCAGAGGAGACAGCACATAAACTGAACAGCACTCAACAATCAATAAAGTGTTTTGGAACAGCAATAAAATAATAAGCTTAAGTATTTGAAATGGGCCTAGTCCTTCTGAACAAATTCTGCGTCAGATATTGGCTAGAATGTTTTTCGAAGCTCTTTTTCGTCTTCTTCACTAAGTGGTTTGTCCTTGTGTTCCTCCTTCCATCTTCTGACAACGTCATTTGCAATCAGAGCCCTAATACTGGTGTACGTGATAGACACAGGTTTGCCTTCATTGTATGCGGCCTTGTAGCTTTCATTGAGAAGTTCTCGAGCGACCGCCTCAACTACCATTGCGTTCATATTTTTGGCTTTCAGACACTTTGCGAAGACGACTCTGCCAGCCATGTATGGAGTTGTGTCTACGCCTTGCTGCCTCTGTCGCGCCAATCCACAGAGACTCTTTCCATGTTGTTTCTCCACGTTTGCATCATAGTCGCGTTGTCGTCTTGCACTTTCTGTTGCATTCTTATCGCCAAGATTTGCCAGTGTGATATCAAGTTTGTGTTCATATCCTTCCTTGTCTTGTTTTTTCTGTTCCTCCACGTAATTGTAAATATTGAGGCTATGTTTCAATACATTTTCCAGTCTTGCAGGACCACGGCTCAGATCCTCTTTGTACTCTCCACTATATCCGGACTCTTTCCCCTCAGCAGACGCTCTCTGTTCTCTCATCGCTTCCCCGTATGAACTTAGTAGTAGATTAGGCTCATCACACTTGGTGAGAAGCGGAGCTCAAGCAATACCATACGAGCTCACATTTTATTTGTTCTTGCCGGTTCTCTTGCACAATCTTGATCTCTTCCATTGTCAAAGGAAGCGGAGCATTCATAGAAATAATCAGATCATCCCAACCCTGCTCAGTCGTTGGGTTCCAAAAATCTGCGCCGTTTGATATCTTACATTGGATATCATAAAGTCGTTCAAAGTGCATTGTATCAAGACAATCCCATTTTCCACATTCAATCAAGAACCTTGCAAACGTCTCAAGATCATTTGTTTTATTATTGTGCATGGAAGACATAAACAACTTAGCCTCTTGGCCTTCCACTAAATCTTGAGCACTAAGATCATCTTCATTGCACACTAGCCTTAAACGCAATGGTCTCAGTTCGACCCCTTTCACCAAATCAAATTGACTGGTAACATTCAATCTCTATTCAGCACATCCCAATTGACCGAGAAATGAATTAGCCAGGAAATTCTGATTTGACGTAAATAGGTCTAAGTGGGACTGTGGAGCGCTTGATTTGATCTTCTCTTTCCTTTGCTTCAGGCATATAAGTTTGAATGAAAGCATTAGGAACGCCCATCGTCATTATATCTCTACCTTCATGTGCATGAATAACACAAGTAGTGGTGATTGCTTCTTGCAAAGCAGTTGGACTTGCAGTGTCCTTTCGCAATAACCATTAACAACATGGCCTTGGTATACTAGGCAACCTTTAATTGTCTTTTCAAATTGCTTCTTGGGTCTTCTTTTGCTCAGACGCGGTCATGTCTTTAACAAATTTGGGAGTGAAACAATCTCTCAGGAGCATCTAACCCTATCCACAGCACCCTTTCCATCATCACCAAACCTCTTGGCCTTGATCTGCAACATGCAACAAGCAATCAGAATAGCGTGGATAGCTTTACTGTCTTTAGCTCTGCGACTTACTTCTTTGGTACAAATACCAGATTTTAACTTGTTCTTCAACAGTTTCAATTCCCTCTCGTGATGCTTGCCTCTTGTTGAAACTCAATTCTTCTTCTTATTGGCAGAACTGCCACTCCTGCTCAAAGGCCATTCTCTTGGCTTCTTTGGAACTTGAGAAAGGTCCAGCCCAGACATCACAGCTTGCATTGAGTGACTTTTGCTACTTGAGGCGTTTCAGGCTCAAATACAATCTCTTCTTCTGGCGGTTCTTGTAGATCCTCCAGATCAGTAACGAGGCTCCCAGTATCATTGGTTCCTCTATTGACATTTTCTTGATGGTGATCCAAATCGGCCACAACAAGTTCTACCTCTTCATTGCCTTCATCACCCGAATTGTTGTCATCTGATTCATAGTCATAATCTCCAAGGAATCTGACAGTGAGTTCTGGCACATCATCGACATCATTGTCTGCATCTGCCAAGAGCTCTGCTCTTTTGGAGTCATCAAGATCATCAAATTGTCCACGCAGATTGAAATCATGTTCATCTTCATCTTCAGGTTCATAGTCCTGATCAAAGGCTTCTTCTAAGTAACCCTGTCCCGTGTCATCCACTCCTGCGATTTGATTGCCATCTTGAATGTCTCCAAATATCTCTTCTTCTCAAAGAACTTCATGGAAGTAACACCTTTGGCAGCAGCCCAAGCTTCAACACGCTGGATTACTTGGTCGGTAACGGGTAGTACAACGACCTTGGGTCGGGAAATCATCTTCTTAGTATTGAGGTTGAGCACTCGGTGCCCAGTACGTTGTCCCTTT